AAAAAAAAAAAAGAGAAAAAAGAGAAAAGAAACGCATGAGAGCGGAAGGTCGCATCGAAGGGATGCCAGGCATCCGAGGTCTTTTGTTCGCCTTCTGGTGCCTCGATGTTCTCGCGGTCTGTGCGATGGGCAACGATCAAGCGATCGACACTGTCCCGAGGACACTGTCCAGGCGCAAGAGGTATTTGATCTTTCCGGAAGGCAGTAATCTGCAGGTACGCTGAGATATGAGACTAACATATACTTATTCTTCAGTCCAGAAAAGAAAAGAAGACCACTTGAACATGTTGTATGATGTTGACAGTTCATCGATGAAAGAGCGTATATGAAGGTTACCTTCTTTTTTTTTTTTTAAATGGAGCGCTTAAAAGAATGGAAAAGGATTTTTAAAGCGTAAATAAATTCGTCTCAACACTTAAATTGCAATTAAAAGTGCTGCAAGAAATCAATAAGGCAGTGAGAACTTGAATGTATCAATCTTTCGAAACTTACTGAATGACAGCTAATTTGTCGCGACGCACGACTTCTTGATGTTGTAACTTTTATTAACTTAATGATTCATTAAAATAATTATATTGTTTCAAAAAGATGTAAGAAGTAGTTTAGATTAAATTCTCTTTATTTTTAGTAATTATTAATCTGCGAGATGGCATATTTGAAGTAAATTTCTTTTTTATAGTTCTCGTTTATAGACAATAATTTTCAATAGTATGAAATCAACTTTTTTATTCATTTTATTCATATTTTCATAAACATTTTATATGAATATTCGAATAATTTAACTTTTTATACTAAAATTAGAAAAGAACAGTTCCATCAGACAAAGAGTAGATATACGCGATAAAATTCTAGATCCGCTCAAGTATGTTCTTAAACGTGAATCATATAAGCGATTATTTATTTTTATAAAAGAAAACGTAGCTCTTTATCATAGTTGCGTTAACTAAACTGCGGATCTTTGTATGATTTTAAATTTTTATGGACACAATTAAAGAAATGTAGTCTAAGCAGAAATGTTTTACTATATATTATAACAATATATAGTACAGTATATTAGATATACTTCACGTATTTTATATATTTTATTTATTCCATAATCTAATGATAACAATTATTGTCTATACATTTGGATCTAAGAACAAAATTATAAATTCCTTTTCTGTTTATGAAAAACTTGTTTTGTCCAGAATTGTTTTCTAAAAGCTTCGACCAACAAGAAGAAGGGAAAGCAATAAGAAAATTGACAGAAATTGTAAAAAAAATTCCGGGATAATTGTTGCACTATTTATTTCTTATATAAATTTTAAAATTCACGAGACCGTATCCCTGTAATGTCCTTTCTCCATGTTTTTCAGTTGGTGTTTTGTTTAACGGTGGGAACCTACGCGAAAGAGAACGACGTAGTGATGGGATTAACTGCAGCTCTAGCCTGGGAATTGCCGAGCACAGTCGACAAGAAGGTCTCGCAGTTGCTTCATCGAAGAAGCAGAAGCGTTATGTTCCCGAAAATAGAGGCTTTATTGCAATCGTAAGTAAGCCAATTTACTGCGAGAATCTTCAACTTTCAGTACGAGGAACATTCTCGTTTGTTTCGTTGGAAGGAAGTTCGAGGAAGATCTGTTCTCACTTTTTCGTACGTTTTATCTCATAAAATTTGTACTTGAAGTTCTACGTGACCAATTTTCTTATTTGTTACACTGGCACATATTGCACCCAGATGTACGAACTACTTCTTTTTACATTTCGATACTCAATTTTTTATTGGTTTAATTTTTGTGCGCTGAATACGAATATGTAAACTTGTTTGAAAATCAATTGAAACGAAAAAGAAAAGAAATTTTCTTCTGTTTTAATTGTACATGTTACTTACAAATTTTTCCAAATTTAATTATATATATTTTCACGGCATTGTAAACATTGTAAACACGTTAACAAATCTTTCATATCTTGACGGTATTTAAAAGTACCGCTTTTTGTATAGTGATATAAACGCTTATGTCACTTCGTGTGACAACAATTTTTCACGTTATTCAAAAAGACACGTAAAATGAACGTTTATGAATCGCTGGGAAATGGCAGGGGAATATTTGTACGTTCTCTCTTGCTCTGTATGTACGCTGCAGTTGCACGCCGGTGCTTAACGCAACACATCAAATTATTCTACAATTTATATCTCTCTCTCTCTTTCCTAAATTTACAATTTGCTAAAAATCATCTGCCGACGTGAAAATTTAATACGTTAAATTATCCTGAAATTTATTTCTCTCCTTTCTAAATTTACAATGCGCGGAGAGGCAGTGTAAATTTATCTATTGTCGCGAAAGATTAATACATAAAATTTATTTCTCCATTCCCTGAATTTACAGTGTGCTGAACAAAAATTGAGAGAAGATCGTAGATAACTTAGTGATATGGATATGAAAGTTTCAAACACAAAGTCCCTACAACATTCGATTTACAAATATTAACAATCAAATCTTACTTAATTCTCTCAAGTTAACCAAGAAATGGAGTGTCAAAGGGGATTGACTTTGAAGGATTTCTTTCATTTTTTTTTCTTCTTCTTCTTCTTCTCTTTTCTCTGCTCCTTTTGCTTTTATCCGAC